TTGTGTATTTCAACATACGGCTCAACCTCAATCTCATTGTGCAGAACATACAAATACACTTGATCCCGTTCGACCCTTGATATTGTCACAACTTTATTTCCAATTAGCTTCTTACCTTCTTTTTTTTCAACAACATGAGATTTGGGGAGTCCAATTGATTGAACATTTGACAAATATTCAGTACAAAACTCAACTGCTTCTTCAACAATGTATCTTTCGGCAATACAACCCTCTGGTCGACTCCGATTTTTCACATACCCTTTTAATATTTTCATATAACGTTCAGCAGGGTACATCCATCTCATATAAGCTGGTCCGCACAATTGTGTCTCTTTCACAAGATGAACGACAAGATGAACCATTATGTCAAAAAACGAGGGAGGAAAATACATTTCAAGCTCACACAAAGTAACAACTATTTCTTTTTGCAATGTTGGCAAGATCTCAGGATCGATCACCTTACTGCAAATTGACTTGAAGAAAAAACACAATTTAGTTATTGTGCTTCTTACCTTTTCTGGCAGAATAGAACGTATACCTATCGGTAGAAAATGTTCCATTATAACATGGAAATCATGCGTCTTTAAACTCTTTAACTTGAGGTCTTTCATAGACACAAGTCTTCTAATATCTGATGAGTAGCCTTCTGGAACTTTAACTTCACTCAGAAACTTACACAATATTTTTTTCTCCTTTCTAGATAGAGTGTAAACAGTAGGTGGTAGGTATGTCCGTCTTCCTTTCTTCACGGGTCCCAGTTCATTTCTTATTCCCATGTCTACCATGTCCTCCCTTGATTTAAGGCCATCCTTAGACTTCCCTTTTATATTGAGTAACGTACCAATAACACTGTCAAATACATTTTTTTCAATATGCATCACATCAAGAAAATGTCTCACGTACAAAGATTTCCAATATGGCAATTAAAAAAAAATCGACCTCTTCTTCCACCCACCTGTGACAACTTTATGTGCAAAAGGCTTGCCAAACTGAATATTCACATCTTTCACCTTTTCAAAAATTTGATCACCTGTCAAACCAGGCGGAGCTCTACGTTGTTCGGTATCTCCATTGAACGCTTTTCTCCATCCACGATACTGATGTTTAGAAGTTAAGAATCTACGATGACCGAGAAAGACATTCTTCTGACAAAGTTTCAATCACATGGTATCGGTTCCGTCTTCACAAACATGACACACTTTTTCACCTTTAATGCTATACCCGGATAGATTGCCGTATGCTGGAAAATCGTTAATTGTTCCAAACAACATCGCCCTCAAGTTGAAACTTTCTTTCCTATAACCATCATAAACCTCCACACCGTTCTCCCACAAAATCTTCAAATCTTCGATTAATGGTTCCAAGTATACGTCTATGTCATTTCCTGGTTGTTTAGGCCCAGAAATTAACATAGACAACATCATGTACTTACGCTTCATACATAGCCATGGAGGTAGGTTATAAATCATAAGAATCACAGGCCATGTGCTATGCGAGATACTTTGAATACCGTGTGGGTTCATTCCATCAGTAGACAATGCCAAGCGAAGGTTTCTTGCTTCTTTTCCAAATTCAGGATAATCATTATCAATTTTCATCCACTGTGGAGAATCTGCCGGATGTCGAAATTTTCCATCAATAATTCTTTCATCTGAATGCCAAGTCAAGTGTCTTGAATCGGTTTCACTATGATACATCCGTCTAAATCTCGGGATTATAGGAAAATACCATAAGACTTTTGCCGAAGACAACTTTTTCTTATATCGAGGGGCACCGCATTTAGGACACTCATTTAACGATGCATACTCGTTTCGAAACAAAATGCAATCTTTTGGACACGCATGTATCTTATCATAGCTCATGCCAATGGAGTACAACATCTTTTTGGCCTCATACGTTCGATTGGGAAGAACATTATCCTCTGGTAGCATATCTTTTATAAGGGCTAATAACTCTGTGAAACTTTTATCCGACCATCCATTGCCGGCTTTTAAGTTGTACAACTTTAACACCGCAGACAATCTTGTGAATTTTGTACAACCATTATACAACAGTTTCTCTGCATCGCTTACCAACCTCTCGAACATTTTGGGACAATCGTTAAGATCTTCTTCAAGCGCTTCTGCAATTTCTTCGACTCGATCATAATCGTATGTATCTGTGCAATCATCATTTGAAACATAGGTCCTTGCATACCCCGATTCAACATTCCCGTTACTTTTCTCACCATGCATATTCCAACATGTATAACTCCTATCAATTCCATACCGAATTAAATGCGATGCCAACTGAACTGCGTCAACCCGGTTCCCATAACAGCAATACAAACAGGGACATGTCATACGACTGGGGTCTTTGGCGTACACAACAGCAAACTTAACAAACTCGGAAACACCATTCTCGTAGTCTTTCGACAATCGATTGGGATACATCCATGTCTTATCCATATCAACTAATTAGTGCACAAAACAGTAGTATACTGCGTTTCTGTCAAAACACAAAGTATACACGGAATGAATCCGTATCAAGAAAATGCAACATACGAAAGACAATTTAAGATAAATTCATCACAATATATACCAGTAATTTGAGGAAGAAAGTTACCTCTCAGATGTTTCGAACTCTAAGAAACACGGAGAAGACGCCAATCAAACACTTGAATATTACTTGAAACATTAGCTCTCCAAATGTAAGCCAAAGTTGGCTTCAGTGATGAATTCGACAGCGAATCAATGTTAATACAAGAATTCAATTTAGAATAAGTTAATTTGACAAAATAGCTGTTAGAATAATCAATCATATGAAGCTCATAGTAGAGTCAGTGTTGATAATGGTGAGTCATTAGCAATTCATGGTAGACTCGAGTGGAAACTGATAAATCCTGATATGTTCCTAAAGTTTTATAAAGTTCCTAAAGTTTTGTAAAGATAATCATGTTGTTTTTGAAGGAACTAATAAATTTTATAGGAACTAATATATTCATCAGATACTCTTTCTCTATCTTTCTTTCTCTCTCCATCATATACTGCTAAACCTTTCTCCACTACAAACAGTACCAAACCTATCTGTTGATGCGGCCGCCACTATCAAGAATGGAAAGTTTATTGAGGTTGTTCTTCGCATCTCAAACTTAACAATGGTGCATGTATCTCTCTTCTCTATATCTACTCCCACACCTTCGATATTGAAAACCTTTTGCCCACATCCAAAGTCGCCGATGATCTTCTATAGGTTGTAGCTGCTTCCTCTATCAGATTTATCTATTGAGGTTTTTGTGTTTTCTATCAGATTTATCTTTTGGGGTCTAATTTTGCACTCTTGGCGTTTGATAAAAAACTTCAAAAAAGTTTTGTATCTTGGAGCAACAATATTTCTAGTCATCAATTAAATTTTGAACATTCGATTATTAACACCAGAATTCTAACAAAGCAACATAATATTAACGATAAACCCGTCATATCCCGATACAATCATACACTGTCAACATAATTTTTCACAGATTTTCTCATGGTAACATTTTCAAAACAAATCAACTTATTAACACAGACAACAACGTACACACATAAACAATACAAAATGAATCCAGAAAACGCTTAAACTATGCAAGTCATGGTGATGAAAATCAACCTTACCAATTCTGAAACGAACAATGTGATGAAGCTGGAAATAGAAAAGGCAACGGGTTGTGTTGATGCAGAACAAAGTGAAGTAGTAAGGCAACGGGTTGCGGCGACGACTGAAGAAGAGGGAAGAACGACGTCGACGAAGGAAGACGAAGCAACAGTAACGGCGGAAGGAAGAAGAAACGAACGGTAACGGCGACAAACAAACGAACAGGAACAGGAACGGCGACAGAAGAAATGAACGGTAACAGGAAGAAGAAATGAAGAAGACGAAGAAATGAACAAGTGATAGGGCAAATTTCGTATTTAGGGATATAGGCTACGAAAGCGCTTCTAAAAGCGCTTTCTAAGGCCCATATATGAGAGCGTTTCTGAGGTAAAAAGCGCTTTCGTATGTCCCCCACATAAGGGCGCTTTAGAAAGCGCTTTCGTAGGTCCCCCTTTCAGAACGCTTTTCAAAAGCGCTTTTATAGGACCACCTCTAAGAGCGCTTTTCAAAAGCGCTTTCGTAGGTTAGATATTTCAAATACCTATGAAAGCGCTTTTTGAAAAGCGCTTTCGTAGGAAACCCTATAAAAGCGTTTTTTTTAAGCGAATTTTTTTTAAAGGCTACGAAAGCGTTTTCTCTTAAAAGCGCTTTCGTAGATGCGCTGCCAAAAATTGTTTTTTTCGTAGTGTTTAGAGGCAGATTTTCACATCCCAAAACATTTTTAACGTAAAAATTGAGAAGTTATTATTCATAACTTTAACTAAAAGACAACTTTTTGATATGATTTTATATTATTTATTGACTGATTACTTTTTTTAATCTTAAAAATATAAACTCAATATTCAATCTATAACAAAAGATAAAATTCAGTCAAATCCAATTTACAAACAATCAAATCTTTTACAATGATAAGACAACATAAGTCTTTAATTTACACCAAAAAAATCTTTTATAATGATACGATAAGACACACAAGTCATTAATTTACACAAAAAAAAAATTGTAATTACATATTTAGAGTCATATTAAAAAAGTTAAAAGATAAAATATTCAAAAAGTATTTTCTAAATATGAGTCTAAAAAGCAAGCTCAAAACATGTGTAAAGAAAAGATAGTTGAAAGCAACCTAATCCACTTTCCGTCCTAATCAGATATATAGTACCTGTGAGCTGGATTTATGTCGGGAATATAAAAAAAAACAAAAACGAAAACAAAACAAACAAAACGAAGTCCAACAAGGACAACAACGAGTACGCGTAGCTGTACATTTGATTTCTAGAACTCATACCCATTGTATTCCCAATTCAATTTCTCTTTATATGTAAACCTTTTCTTCAATCTTTCTAAGTTACTGTTTTGTTTTCGATTTCGATTTCGATTTCAATTTCATGGGTCTTCGATTTTCTTCTTTTCTGTCTTATTCAGCAGCTTCTTCCGGTCCCACTCTCGGTGATTTACCGGAGAGTTGCGTCGCTTCCATTATCGGTTACATGGATCCTCCTCAGATCTGTCAACTTGCGACATTGAATCGAGCTTTTAACGCTGCTTCTTCTGCTGATTTTGTTTGGGAATCGAAATTGCCTTCTAATTATCATCTTATTCTCAACAAAATCTTTAATCATTTTCCGCTTGATTTGGGTAAACGCGATATTTACGTTTCCCTTTGTCGCCTCAATGATCTTGACAAAGGCACCAAGGTAAATTGAGGTTTAATTTTGAAAACCCTAATTTTTCGGGGAAATGGATTTTTTAGGGTTTAGTTCTGATCAGTTTTTTTTTTTTTTTTGTGTAGAAAGTTTGGCTTGATAGAGGGAGTGGTAAGCTTTGTTTGGCTATTTCAGCTAACAAGGGACTATCGATAACTGGGGTTGATGATAGGAGATATTGGAATCATATTCTTACTGAAGAATCTAGGTGAGTTTTTATTTTATTTTTTAACATTAATGTTATGAGAATGCAGGAAATTTCTAGCACTGTGATGAGTTTTGTTTCTTATTATATGTGATTGTGTTTTCTAGATTTTGGTGTTTAGCATGAATTTTTTGTTGTTTCATTGAATGGTTTGATGATGAGGAGATTGTGAAGGAGGGAATGAAGGGAAGGGGAATGAACTGAGGGATGGGGTTAAAAAGCAGTAACAGATGTTTAGTGAAATACTCATTCTCACTTGAAGTTTAGGACTAACATTGTTGAAGTTTCTAGATTAGGTGGAGTTAGTATTTCATAATTTTCGTTAAGGAAGATAATTGGATAGTAAATCAAATGCCCAATATCAACATGTGTTAGTCCACGCGTGGGGCTTGTGCCCTCAAACATGTGGTTATAGGTTCAATTCTTTGATTGATTTGTTTGGGGAAAACACTTGGAAGAGGTCTTTGCCAATTCATACCCATGATGAGTGATTCCTTAACTAATTGATAGAAGAATACTCTCCTAAACTTGAAAAAAAATCGACAAATATTTAATAGGCTAATAGTTTTTGGTTTTTTGCATCTATTTTATGGTCAAATTTCTACCCAGAATCTACATGCATCCATTGCCTTATTCTTGAACACTTGATGAGGGTGAAGACTGGTTAAGTGATAGCACATCAGAGTAGTCAATAGCGGCCCTGTTCCCATTATAGCAGAGCGGAGTGGATGCCGGCCATTATGGGATGAGCCTTAGCGGCGCAGAACACTATTGTTGCCACTATAGGGTAAATAGCGGTAACGGGGGCGGAGTGGTTCCGGCTCGGAGCACTTTCTGTCCCATTATCCTTTTCCCCTCTGAAAAACCGAAATTTCCCCTTAAATTTAAAACGTTTTAAGGGTAATTTTGGGTTACATATATAAATCTTAGTAAGTACTGTTGTGAAGGAAAACTAGTGGATATTGTTTAAGATTGAAGTTAAATCACATTGGTAAACATGCTTCCTTTTCTTTAATTTTCCTAGTTGACGATGCAATTTGTGAAGCTCATTATTAAGTAGTTTGATTGCCAATATAATAAATCTATTTTAGTGGAGCTTTGGAATTGAATTATGTTATCTCTGCAGATTCAGTACTGTTGCATACCTTCAGCATACCTGGTGGTTTGAAGTGGAGGGGGAAGTTGACTTCCCATTTCCTGCTGGGACATATAGCTTATTCTTCAGAGTACACCTTGGGCGAGCCCACAAGAGGTTTGGACGTCGTGTCTGCAACACTGAACATGTTCATGGGTGGGACAAAAAGCCTGTGCAATTCCAACTTTGGACTTCTGATGGGCAATACGTTGCCTCCCAATGTTTTCTGAAAGGACCTGGCAATTGGACTTTTTACCATGCAGGCGATTTCACTGTTGCGGATGGCAATTCATCAACCAAAGTCAAGTTCTCTATGACTCAAATTGACTGCACTCACACTAAAGGTGGTATCTGTTTGGATTCTGCGTTTATTTACCCAAGCGAATTCAAAAAGACTAAGGCATTTTTAAATTGCTTATAACCATTTCAGGCAGAAAGAAATTGTACATCATGTCTGTGTCTAGTATGTATAGGAACTTAGGTTAGAGAATCAAGTTTTTATATGATTCTTTAGGATTAGAGTTTTGTTGGAGCTAGGAGGGAGTTAAGATGTGCAATTTGAGTCATTTAATTTGTTAATTATAATTAGAATTGATTATCCTGCCATGTTTTTGTACGGTATATTTATTATTAAGAAAGTTGTATGTTTGCGGAAGATTGAATGTATGCGATCATTATGATGACATTGAAACTCAAACCTGCAATATTCCTTGCTGGATTTCTTAATAGATTATGATTTATGATATGATGAGATATAACAGCCTCAGAATATATCTGAACTTTGTTCGTGCACACATGCATATTACTGTGTCAAAGCTTGTAAAAAAAGAGCTTTGTTGAGACGAACTCATTGTATGGTGTGGTATGAAAGAAGAATTCAACTCAAACTGTGGAGAGAGTGTACACCAGCAACATATTTTACTGAAAGCATAACACACCACTCAATAAGTTCTAAATAGTCTGCAACATGACAGAGTTCATCAAGTTACACACATTCGATCAACGCTGTTGATTTAATTGAGTGCTAATAGCTAAAACATAATGCAACTTGCAAGTGAACAACTCCATAGCTAAAGTTTTGAGGAATGATCATTCCACCCTTAAAGTGTGCCCTTGCCCCACACTCATGAAAATCCAAAAATGTCTTCACGTGTCTGGATATGCATCTTTGGATGCACCTAAAAGTACACCAGTTTACGTTTTTCTGAGACTAACATAAATTTTTGAGTGAATATGGAGATGTATCTCTGAACGTACCTATAATAGTCACACATCAGTATTTTGTAAGTGAACTATCATTTTGTGAGGGAACTATCCTATGACTCAAGTAATTTGCTTTTTCATACTAAATTGAATGCAAAAAGATTGTTAAATATTTGTATCATTCTGAATTAAATTTATTAACTATTTAGAAGGTGTGTGTATAAGTATAATAAACAATGAAATTGTTGTGATAAAAATTATGAAATCATAGAAATTCACTCTCTTAAATTTTCAATCATAGTATTAGTTTCACTGTCATGAAAATTGGGCCTTCCATGTCTTATGCAAGTGCCACAAGAGTTTACTTTTTTAAATAATTTGCGGCGAGGAGTGTGTAAAAAAGGGAAAGGAAATGATTGTGATGTCCTAAATCCATATTTAAAGGCACTTATATGACATTGTTACTTGTCACCCCACTCTTAGACATACACCCCTCAAATTTTGATAATATTCAAAATATCCTTATTAAAATTTAATCATGTAATCCTCACACGCACTCTCAATTTTTTATAATATCCAGAATATCCTTGTTGAAATTTAACTAAAAAGAACACAAAAAATCAGGTAGTACAATTAAAACATTCGGTATAAATAGAAAAATCTGATAGCATATTTTAAAAATTCGATATGCATTATTAACGATTTATTTAGAAAAATTGGTGCGTGAAAAAAGTTATAGTTTTTAAAAAAAAATTGATAGTTCATATCGTCCAGGTCTATAAAAGAACGAAGTTAACATTATTTTGATTTTGATAAATCCAATATGTTTTATAATTTTTTTAGATTTTTGAAAAATTGGGGAAAAAAAAGAAATTAACAATATCAAAAATTTTGATAAATTCAATAAAAACCTGTAGATTTTTGAAAATTTTGATAGTATATTTAAAAAATTCAATAAAAATTTATAGATTTTCTTGAAAAATTCAATAGTACATTTGAAAAATTCAATAGTTCGATTCCGATAAAAAAAAAATGATTTTGCATATTTTTTCTTAAAATTCGGTAAAAACTAATAATTATTTAAAAAATTATGTAAAAACTCTTATATTAAAAAAATATAGTAAAAACTCATAAATTTTTTAAAAATTCGGTAAAAATTAATGAAATCTTTTAAAAATCCGATAAAAACTGAGTTTCCCAAAAATCCAAGAAACATAATATTTTTAAAAAGATAAAAAAATCACAGAAAATATTATGGTATAAACAATGCACTTGAGGATGTGCCAGATTTGAGAATGGGGTGAGAGGTAAAAATCTCCACCTTCATTCTCAAAGCAAACCAAAGTTTGGATAAACAAACTTTTTAAAACATTTGACCCTACAAAACACTAAAGCCCGTACATTATTCATAAGCATCTGAAAATAAAAGTTTCAACAATATCAATTAATAGACCAATTTTTTTTGAAATTTCTTAATGCATCTTATGCATCACATCTCGTGAAAATACTATAATGCCTTCAGATTTTAGAGATACATCTCTATACGTATTAAATACATGCAATCAAGGCTGTTTTTAAGCCATGCCCCAAAATTGTGTCTTGTTTTATTTCGTAGATACATCTTCGTAAAGCTTACAAAGATGTATTTTCGAAGCGAACTGAAGCAGGAGACTAGAAAGTTAACAAAACAGAAGAAAAAACAACGCGTTGACAAAATGAAATTACCATTGATATCATAAAATCAATAATACATAAGAGATTTTAATATAGATCAAACATTACATTTCAATATCCAGGTGGATGTTGCAACATCTTCATAATATCTTCGACCGATCTCGAAATCGTCGCATCCAGCTCGATCGAAATATTTGATTCTAAACAGAAAAAGCATTTCATGTAGCCCTTAAATCTGCGGCCGTCTTCAGCTCAAATTTGTTGAACTCAATCTTCCCTTCTTTATCAATGGATGACGAACAATACTCGATCTTCACAATTCTCTAATTGTCTCCGTATGATAGGAGCTCTTGCAGTGTGCATGTCAGATCTTCAAGACGGGTGCAGTCATTGATCTTAAATGCACGTGAGAGTTTCACACTATTAAAGTATATATTTCCGACATGTAAAATGATGTTGATTCTGGTGTGATGTGTTTTAGTATCAAACAATGAGACAGGTGTCACATATTTATAGTAGTGGTATGTAATTATAGACCTCATAAATTCTATCTTTTACCAGGACATGTTTCACAAATGTATATCTCTAATACCATCATGTTATCTTAATCCGAAGATATATTTTCGAAGCCTCTCAGAACATAATGAAGTTCTGTTCCGGACAAAAACAATGCATAATTTTTTGACAAACTTCAAAATGTTGCTTACAATAATACAATAAATTGATAAATAAATACAATAATATATTAATACAATGTTACGTACAGTAAATTAATAAATAAATACTAAAGTAAACTGATATACTTGTCGTAGACTAAATCTATAACTCTTGGTGGTACCCCTTTTGATTTTTATTTATTTGATTCTCTTTCAATCTCGCTCAATTTGGTGAACTCTTGCACCATTTCATCAAAATGGTCTAGCCAAGTCTCCATTTTGGTTGTTGAATAAGTTGTCCACTTTGGTGATGTAAGTGGTATAAGACACCCCGATTTCAAATAAACTTGAATAAAATACCACAGATTTGAAATCCACTCAACACACATAATACGATTGTTTTGATTTTGAGGTGGTGCAGTGTGCAACATGTCATACCCCAAATTTGCCCCATTACAATAGTCATATTATCACTATATTTCTGATTTATAATCACATAAATTAATTTTGCTTATCTTGAAGCTCATTATAATTAAAGGGGTTTGTGAGCTTTCTAAATCAGAAAAGATCCATTTAAAACTTTTTAGTCCATTCAAAAAAATAGAGGCATTGCTATAAGGGGGTGTGATGTTTCAAGTGGGCCATTATATGATGGCCCATTAAAGTGGTTACTCTTTTTAATAACATAAAAGGAGGGTGCGTTTTAGAGGGGCTACAGAATTTGTTGCATACCCAAAGGCCCATATCGGGTCATATTTTTGATGGCCCATTACGTTTTCTCTTGCTGAGTCTATGCAAGAGGTGCGTTTGTTTTCATCTGACCCATTAAAAAGAATTTGCAAGCCCATATTTTATTTTTTAAAGTCCATTTCAAAGGTTAAAAGAATAGGTGCATTTTTATAAAAGGGTACGGTGTTGCAAGTGGGCCATCACAACCTGATGGTCCATTAAGTTTTTTCTCATATTTTATAACAAAGAAGGAGGTTTTCTAAACTTTTTGTTTCATTTTTAATGGCCCATTTTACTGATGGCCCATTAAGGTTGTTACTCTTTTTTTTTATATAATGAAGCAGGAGGGTGTGTTTTTTTTGGGGGGGGGGGGGGGGGGGGGGGGGGCATAACATTTGTTGGATGGCCCAGAGCATTTTCAGAGGCCCATTGAATTAGAATGAGCCAGATATCAATTTCTGATATTTTGGCTATATCATCAATTTTATTAATATAACTAATATTATTATTATTAATATTATTATCATTATTAATAAAATTAATTTTCGCTAATATTATAATTTTATATTTTTTTGAATTGTTGACCGAAGTCAATCCAAGGGATGAAATCCTAATACAATCAGTGGCGCATCTACCTCTTTCCTCTTCATTAAGCTCAAGGGTCCAGAAAAACAATTACTGTGCAGATTAAACGAAAAAAATGTATCAAATCAATACACACATAATCAAACCTAATCAAACAAAGCCGTTCAGATACAACAAATCAAAACTCCAACAGAGTCAATTACAATCTCAATCCTAATCAAATCTAACCTAATTTATAATAAAATCCCTAATTTCTAACAATCTCTAAAAATATAATGCCAATCAACCTAAGAAATTTCATAATTCATCTAATCTAAAAACCATAAATAGACCCTAATTTATACAAGAAAGCGGACACCTAAAATCTTCACAAGAACATAAGAGGGTGAGGATGAGCTTGACGGATTCGCAGCAGAAAGAAGGAGAAGAAGAAGATTTGGGTTTCAAAGTTCGAAACCCTAAATCCGACTGTTACGCTGCCACGCTCACTGCCTTCAAACACCGACGTTACCTGTAAAATCAAAGAGAGGAGAAGAATCAGAAGGCGAAATCGGAGAAAAGCAATACAATTCAC